AATTAAAAAGAGAGGAAGAGATATAAAGGGACACAGATATGAACTGTGGAAGGGGAAATTAAAAAGCGAGGAAAAATTATACAGGTATACACATATGAACTGAGGAATGGGAAATTAAAAAGCGACGAAAATATAAAAAAGGGATACAGATATGAACTGTGGAAGGGGAAATTAAAAAGAGAGGAAGAGATATAAAGGGACACAGATATGAACTGTGGAAGGGGAAATTAAAAAGCGAGGAAAAATATACAGGTATACACATATGAACTGTGGAATGGGAAATTAAAAAGCGACGAAAACATATAAAGGGATACAGATATGAACTGTGGAAGGGGAAATAAAAAAGAGAGGAAGAGATATAAAGGGACACAGATATGAACTGTGGAAGGGAAATTAAAAGCGAGGAAAAATATACAGGTATACACATATGAACTGTGGAATGGGAAATTAAAAAAGCGACGAAAACATATAAAGGATACAGATATGAACTGTGGAAGGGGAAATTAAAAAAGCGAGAAAACATATAAAGGGACACAGATATGAACTGTGGAAGGGGAAATTAAAAAAGAGGAAGAAATATAAAGGGATACAGATATGAACTGTGGAATGGGAAATTAAAAAGCGAGAAAAAATATAAAGGGATACAGATATGAACTGTGGAAGGGGAAATTAAAAGCGACGAAAACATATAAAGGGATACAGATATGAACTGTGGAAGGGGAAATTAAAAAAGAGAGGAAGAGATATAAAGGATACAGATATGAACTGTGGAAGGGGAAATTAAAAACGAGGAAAAATATACAGGTATACACATATGAACTGTGGAATGGGAAATTAAAAAGCGACGAAAACATATAAAGGGATACAGATATGAACTGTGGAAGGGAAATTAAAAAAAAGATAAAGGGACACAGGAAGAGATATAAAGGACAAAGATACAGGTGAACATATGAACTGTGGAATGGGAATTAAAAGCGACGAAAACATATAAAAAGGGATACAGATATGAACTGTGGAAGGGGAAATTAAAAAAAGAGAGGAAGAGATATAAAGGGATACAGATATGAACTGTGGAATGGGAAATTAAAAAGCGACGAAAACATATAAAGGGATACAGATATGAACTGTGGAAGGGGAAAGTAAAAAGAGAGGAAGATATATAAAGGGACACAGATATGAACGGTGGAAGGGGAAATTAAAAAGCGAGGAAAAAATATACAGGTATAAACATATGAACTGTGGAATGGGAAATTAAAAAGCGACGAAAACATATAAAGGGATACAGATATGAACTGTGGAAGGGGAAATTAAAAAGAGAGGAAGAGATATAAAGGGACACAGATATGAACTGTGGAAGGGGAAATTAAAAAGCCAGGAAAAATTATACAGGTATACACATATGAACTGAGGAATGGGAAATTAAAAAGCGACGAAACATATAAAGGGATACAGATATGAACTGTGGAAGGGGAAAGTAAAAAGAGAGGAAGAGATATAAAGGGACACAGATATGAACGGTGGAAGGGGAAATTAAAAAGCGAGGAAAAATATACAGGTATACACATATGAACTGTGGAATGGGAAATTAAAAAGCGACGAAAACATATAAAGGGATACAGATATGAACTGTGGAAGGGGAAATTAAAAAGAGAGGAAGAGATATAAAGGGACACAGATATGAACTGTGGAAGGGGAAATTAAAAAGCGTGGAAAAATATACAGGTATACACATATGAACTGTGGAATGGGAAATTAAAAAGCGACGAAAACATATAAAGGGATACAGATATGAACTGTGGAAGGGGAAATTAAAAAGAGAGGAAGAGATATAAAGGGACACAGATATGAACTGTGGAAGGGAAATTAAAAGCGAGGAAAAATATACAGGTATACACATATGAACTGTGGAATGGGAAATTAAAAAGCGACGAAAACATATAAAGGGATACAGATATGAACTGTGGAAGGGGAAATTAAAAAGAGAGGAAGAGATATAAAGGGACACAGATATGAACTGTGGACGTGGAAAATAAAAAAGAGAGGAAAAAATATACTGGTATACACATATGAACTGTGGAATAGGAAATTAAAAAGCGAGGAATTGATATAACGAGATACAGATATGACATGTGGAAGGGGAAATTAAAAAGAGAAGAAGCTATATAAAGGCATACAGATATCTACTGTGGAAGGGGATATTAAAAAGAGAGGAAGAGATATAAAGAGATACAGTGATGAATTGTGTAATGGGAAATTAAAAGGTGAGGAAGAGATATAAATATGCACAGAGATGAACTGTGGAAGGGGAAATTAAAAAGGGAGGAAGAGATATAAATTGGTAGAGAGGTGAACTGTGGAAGGGGAAATTAAAAAGGGAGGAAGAGATATAAATTGGTAGAGAGGTGAACTGTGGAAGGGGAAATTAAAAAGGGAGGAAGAGATATAAATTGGTAGAGAGGTGAACTGTGGAAGTGGAAATTAAAAAGAGAGGAAGAGATGTAAAGGGATAGTACTGTAAAGGGATAGAACTGTGGAAGGGGGAATTAAATAGAGCGGAATAATATAAACTAGTACAGATACGAACTGTGGAGGGGGAAATTAAAAAGAGACGAAAAGATATAAATGGATACAGAGATGAACAGTGGAAGTGGAAATTAAAAAGAGAGAAAGAGTTATAAAGGGATGCATTGATGAAGTGTGGAAGGGGAAATTAAAAAGAGAGGAAAATTTATAAATGCATACAGAGGTGAAATCTGAAAGGGGAAATTAAAAACCGATGAAGAGATATAAAGGTATACAGAGGTTAACTGTTGAAGGGAAATTAAAAGTGAGGTAAAGATATAAAGGGATACAGAGATGAACTGTGGAAGTGGAAATTAAAAAGAGAGGAAAAGTTATAAATGCATCCAGAGATGAACTCTGGTAGGGGAAATTAAAAAGTGTTGAAGAGATATAAAGGGATACAGAGGTTAACTGTGGAAGGGAAAATTATAAATAGAGGAAAAGATATAAAGAGATACAGATATGAACTGTTGAAGGGGAAATTAAAATATGGGGAAGAGATATAAAGGGATACAAAAATGAACCGTGGAAGGTGAAATTAAAAAGAGAGGAAGAGATATAAAGGGATACAGTTATGAACTCTGCAAGTGGAAATTAAAAAGAGAGGAAGAGATATAAAGTTATAAAGAGATGAACCGTGTAAGGGGATTTTAAAACAGAGGGAGAGATATAAAGGGATACAGTGGTGAACTGTGGTAGGGGAAATTAAATAGAGAGGAATGATATAAACTTGTACAGATATGACCTGTGGAGGGGGAAATTAAAAAAGAGGGAAAATATAAAGGGTTATAGATATGAACTGTGGAAGGGGAAAATAATAAGCGAGGAAGAGATATAAATGGATACATAGATGAACTGTGGAAGGGGAAATAAAAAGGACGGAAAACTTATAAAGGGATACAGATATGAACTGTGGAAGGGGAAATTAAAATATGAGGAAGAGATATAAAGGGATACAGATATGAACTGTGGAAGGGGAAATTAAAAGGGAGGAAGAGATATAAAGGGTTACAGAGGTGAACTAGTAAGTCCAATCTCCGATAAGACTGACTGCACGGGATATGAGGTTGATGAGAGTCATGGTCATAGACCACGTCCTGAAAGTACAAAGGAGATGAGAACGAAGGCGAAGAGGAGGAAGAGGAGGAACAAGTGGAAAAAGAAAAGAACGAAACAGGACAAGGAAAAAGAGTTGGAGAAAGAAGAAGAAGAAGAAGAAGAAGAAGAAGAAGAAGAAGAAGAAAAGAAGAAGAAGAATTAGCATAGCAGTAGAAGAAGAGGGGAGGAGGATGAGAAAGACAGTAGGAGGTGGAGGTGGAAGAAGAAGAAAGCGGGGTGTAAGAAAAAGAAAAGAGGAAGAAAAAGAAGAAGAGGGGCAGGCAGAAGGAGAGAGGAGGGGGATGAGAAAGAAAAGAAGAGGAGGAGGAGTAAGAAGAAGAAGAAGAAGAAGAAGAAGAAAGTGATGAGAAGAAGGCGGACTCAAAGGTAGAAAAGATGAAAGAACAATTGTTTGTTGTTTAATATAACAAAGCTGAAGATAAAAACACAGGGCACACGAAATCACTATAATAGCGTCAATATCGAGAAGGCATAAACATTGACGCCATATTATCGTTCGGATCATCTTGTATGTCATGACGAGGCCGCCATTTATCAGTTGTGACGCATGACCTATATAGTAGCATACATTCATACACACAGACGTGAATAAACATACAAAAACATACGCAGACAGACGAGAATAAACATACAACGACACATGCATGCAAAAACACGTGAATAAACATACAAACGCACAGACACAGACGTGAACAATCTTACAAATACACACGCATACACAGACGTGTATACGTATATAAACACACGCATACACACACTCACATGAATAATCATAAAAGCACACGCGCCCACGCAGACGTGAATAAGCATAAATCACATATACATACACACAGATGTGCATAAGCATACAAACACACACGCATGCACACAGATGTGAATACGCATACAAATACAGAGGCATACACAAACTCGTGAAAAAAACATACACACACGCATGTATACACTCATGAATAAAAATACACTCACGCAAAAACAGACACTTGAATAAGCATTTCAAACACACGTGCATACGCAGAGACGTGAATAAGCATACAAACACACACACACACATACACGCACACGTACAAATTCACACGCACACACACAGACGTTATTAAGCATGCTAACGCACGCGCACTCACACACGTCAATGAGCGTACAAACTCACAGACACACTCACACAGAGAAGTGAATAAGCTTATCAACACACACGCATAGACACACACATAAATAAGCATACAAACACGCACGTACACAAAGAGACGTGAATAGACATAAAAACACACACGCATACGTGAATAAGAAGAACGATTTGCCAACATTCTATTGCATCGGATTTTTTTAAACATTTTTTAAGAAATTAACCCCAAGTAAGGCGACAATGCCACTAAGACGCAAGGGGCTAATTGGAGGGAAAGACAATGAAAAGACGTAACTGAGAACTCAATGCTAAACAGGAAACAATTGATAAACCTCTATTCTTGTTTATGAACAAGAATAGAGAATTGTGAATCGGACGAAACTATTAATATATCAAGAATGGCTAAGACTGTAAAAGATTTTATTTTTAGAGCCTGTGAAGGTAACACGGTTACCTGGACAGGCTCTAAAAAATTCAAGTGCACACACTTCCGTTGAATTGCTCTTCAACCATCGTGGCAAACCAGTGTCAGAATATCTGATGAGAGACAAAATCGCCAAGAGATATTTCAAGTGCGATGATTACATTCACAGTTCGATTTCATGTGAAGCGGTAAAATCATCACCTTACTCCTTCCTTTACATAAACACGCACATACACACACACATACACACTCTCTCTCTCTCTCTCTCCCACACACAAACACGCATGATGATCACAGGAGTATGAAACTTAAGTAGTTTCGTTTCTTTCGAGGAGAAACTTTTTCTTTCGTACATTTTCAATCCTTTGATCTAATGCTTATGATTGAAATGTTATCGATCTGACTTCAAATGTATGATTAGCAATTTAATCAGAATTGATCTGAGTCAAAACTAATTGTATAGACAGATACATCTGAACAGTAAGTCTATTTCGGATCCTTATTTCGATGACTCGAACGGAGATTAACTGGTTTTGAGGATGAGACGGAACATAAATTAAATTACCTTAACAGATCCTACGACAGGGAATCAGAAAGTGCTTTTTGTATGTTACACACACACGCGCGTGCTCATGATGATCGCGGGAGCATGAAACTTAAGTAGTCCTTTTCGAGGCGTAACGCTGTGAAGCGTCTTTGCTCTATTCTAACAACTCAGGCATTGAGTACAGTTGCTTACTATTTAGATAGGTGCTTGCCTTTCAGTCTTTTTTTATAGTTTATTTATTTTCCTTTTCTTGTATAGGTTTTCTTGATTTTGATGTTGGATAATCTCTTGTTTTCTATTTGTTTACTTTTGGCTGGCTTTCTCTTGATTATACCAACACTGCATTTTTGTGATGTATCCATATATATATATATATATATATATATATATATATATATATATATATATATATATATTGTGTATTTATGCAGCAATCCCTCTTCTATTCATGTTTCATTAAAAACAACAGACAAGGTACTGTAATTAAGCTTTTTTATTTAATTTTTCTTGCGTTTGTACAAATGCTTTCTTTTCTGGGCAAAGATAAATAATTACATAGGTTACACTACTACATGCCTATCCGGACGACTTACGCAACACCTATCCGACCACAGCCTCATTAGAACTCATTTAAACACACACACACACACACACACACACACACACACACACACACACACAAATATGCCAGACTGCATCCAAAACATACTAGCAGAAAATGCAAGCATAACAACCTCATTTTTTTGTAAAAAAAAAACGATTAAATGTAATAGAAGCCTTAATAATAAAGAAGAAAATACTAACACACAATGATATTAAATACGAACACGGCCACAATGTGCTGACTGTGTGCGGAAAATAAAACATCTCTATAACTCTAGATACATGCACACAACCCATACATCCAGTTAAAAAGTAAAAATAATATCATACTTGATAATCGTTGAAAGTATAGCCGAAAACGCTCGGAATTACAGAACATTATAAAAAAGTTTCGAGACAGTCTGTGTCCAGAAAAGAAAACACAAGCAAAATTAAATAAAAAGATTAATCGCAATACCTCTTCGGTTGTCTTTAATGAAACATATATATATATATATATATATATATATATATATATATATATATATATATATATATATATATATGAGATATATATATATATTATGAGATATATATATATCTCACAAAATCCATTACATATGTGTGTGTGTGTGTGTGTGTGTGTGTGTGTGTGTGTGTGTGTGTGTGTGTGTGTGTGTGTGTGTGTGTATAAGGTGTTTTTCAAAAGCAACATTTTTTCAAACATGTTTGTTTGAATAATATCGATAAGTTCTGTTTATGTAACTTATTTCCGGCATTGTCACCTTTGCTGGAACCAATTTTAAGTTACTTAGGAAAACATCATTTAAAAAATCAATGAGTTTTTCGATTAAGCTCTGAACTTAAAAATTATTAAAGATAACTTGCTGGAATTATCCGAGATTTTTATAACGCTACTGAACTCTACTTTGAGCAAGAAGAGTATAAGTATATCCAAGTATAACTACTCTCCAAGCTTAACAGAAGAATCATGATGAAATTGATCAGAAACGAAAATGACATGTTCATTATTAATTAATCATAGCTAAAGATCGGAAACACATAAATAATTGAAATTCCAGGATCATTTTATTCAAGATGAGCTTCGCCCTCTCTAACCTTCTAACTTTCTGTCCTGGAGTAACACGGTGCTTCACACGTACAATTTCATTTTTAACTGCTCTTTCGACTGTCATATTTGTAACGCCACTCTCAAGTGCCAAACGTCATATGGATTGAATTGGATCTTATCTAATTGATTTCGTTAGCTCTAAGTTGAAATGATGATCCTCTTCCTGTTGTGACCTCCGGATCCAGTTTTCCTCTCTACTGTTCCTTCTTTCCTAAAACTTATTCACCATTTTCTTGATGGTTCTTGAATGGTCTTTGAAGATGGAAATCAGAGTATGAATGTTTGTACCATTACTGCAGGCCTGAATGTGTGTTGGAATGTGTCACGAAAAAATAAATGATTTCATCTCTTTCTCTCCCAGCTGTCGTAGCGACGGACACAGTCTCCACTTCTGAGACTGAAAACTGCCCTCCTTCTCATTCCAGCCCTTTACATAGAGCTTGGTAAATCACCTATGCAAAACACCAACAAGCCAGCTACCAATCCCAGTTCCCGCGCCTGCCCACCTCCACTCGCTTTGGGGGTGTCAAGTTGACCGACCAACTCATTAAATCTTTTTCCTCCCACCATTGCTTAGTTGCGCAGACAGTGGAGTTGACACAAAACGATTTTAACCTATTTTCTTTCTAGATACATAGCTCAAAAGATTTGGTATCAAGATGGCTAAACGTCTTATCTGAGAACCTGAAATATAGAAACAATTAGTTTAGTGGTTTGTTTTTTTAGATATTAAACATTTTGTGGGATATATCCCATCTACTCCCCTCACAAGCACCACCTTCGCTTTGACTTTGTAAGATCGCTTGGAGATTTTCTGAATGCATGATACAGAGAGAGTGGGTAAGATCTGAAGATTTCAGAATATCGGAAAATTGACGATATCCTGAAAATATGCAGGAAATACGAAATTTTATTTCTGCTACAACGGAAAGGAAACATATCAAATACAAAATAATAATTAATTAATAAAGATTAATTATTTATAAACATATTTAAATCAGGAGAGTTTCCGGGCCAGTATATAATACTTTGATTTTCTCACTGGTAGGGCTTGCCAGTGTGTTCGTGCAGAATTACAATTTTCGTACGCTTCCTTGGAGTAACATCCATCGCAGACAATGGTCGTAGGACAACTAATCGACAGTCGAGACAATAGTGTCTGGGCGTGACGAAAATCTGATGCAATCACAGATGATACAATATTTTTCAAGGCCAAACAAATTTCATTATACTCCCCGAAAATAGATTCATATGACTGCAAATGACCTAATCTGAGGAAAAATTAGAAATCGATTGCACCCTATCACTCCAGTGGATTTAAAACTGACCGTATGGCGAAAGAATTCAACTAAAGCGGGTGTTTCAATTAATTTGCACAATGGTGTATATCTTCCTAATACTTCTGACATGTTTATTAATCTTTCTAACTACCAAGTTACTAAACGGTAAACAGTATTACCCAACTTCGGACCAAACTGCCAGCTCTCTTCCACTTTTGACAATGGAAAAATCGAGACTAAACGGACTAAAAATTTTACTCAAGTAAAGAAGCGCTATAATGAACTTAAAAAAAGAAACATATGATAATTAGTGACAAATCAAATATTTTTGTAGGACTGGCTATGATAAAAAGAAACTTGATTTTATCCACAACAAGAGAGCCAAATGTAGGAAATTAAACGAAAACACCGCCAAATTTCTTCAGATAGATA